TCGTATTTTCAGGCGTCAGATCTCAAGCGTCATGAAAACAACATGCACAGTGAGAGGAAGCAGCTGAATCCACTGCAGAGCGACACAGAGACACTGCAGGCCGCTGCCATGGCTGCAGAGGAGCAACATCTGGACAGCATCAGCTGATCCAAACATCTGGACAGCATCAGCTGATCCAAACATCTGGACAGGTCCTCTGATCCAAACATCTGGTGGACGACAGCTGTTGGTGACATCACCATTCAAACATTATCTCTGTATCTTATTGGTTTATTTTTAACAGAGACTTTTTATGACGTTCTGTTTGTGTTGAAGTCGTTTCCTCGTGTGCGGCAGTAAACATGAACTAATGACCTCAGCAGTCATGTGATCCACGTGTCATACGTGATGTCTGGCTTCATGTATGATCTCACACATTTGTTTTTACATGTGAAACCAAACTCTGTACAGAAAACAGCTGATTTCCAAGCTGTTGGTTTGTGTTGTATAAAAACTTGTTGCTCTGTTCAGTTTCATGAGCGGAGCCGCAGTAAGAACACGTCTGTTTATTTCATCATCGTTCTACAGGTGCCCAGAGTGGACACATGAACTGAGCTTTTTACACAGTTCCACTGAAAATAAACCTTTTCATTCAGATCTTCTGTACCCTGGACATGTTCAAATCCATTATAGTTCTCCACACGTTCTTTACATGTTCTTTACCCGTTCTTTACATGTTGTTTACATGTTCTCCACACGTTCTTTACATGTTCTTTACACGTTCTTTAGACATTCTTTACATGTTGTTTACATGTTCTCCACACATTTGCAGCTCATTCTTTGACTTTATTTAAACATTCCTGTGTTCGTTTACAGACAAATGCATATGGTTGTGAACCAGCAGGAGAAAAACAAAACACCATCAGCAGATCTTAGTTTTTAATATGAACACGTTTTTACATTTTATCAACAATAAATGGAAAAACAACAGAAGAAAAGATTCAAAAATAAGAAGAAATGAAAACGTATTTTTCTCGAAGAACGAGACAGGTTGTGACCGGTGAGACAGGTGGTAAGGCACGTCGTGAGACTGGATCCAGGTGGTAAGAAGTGATGAGACAGGTTGGAACCAGTTGGACAGGCAGTGAGACAGGTCTCAGATGATTGCAGGTAAGTAGTGAGACAGGTGTACACGAATCAGGGTTTGATCAGCCAATCACAGTGAGGATTCACTCTGTAAACATCCAACAGGACGCAGTCTGGATGGAGACGACGTTCACCTGAGAGACAGACAGGTTCAGATACTCTGATATACCTGTGGAGCAGGTCAGTTTATGATGATGATGATGTCATAACCAGACTCACAGATGTTTCCTCCAACTTCATACAGACACTGGACTGGACTGATGGTCGAGAGAGGGTGAGAGACAGAGTGAGACACAGGATCAATGGAAGATATTTTAAATTGTGGCTCAGAGCAGCTGCACCAGAGGGTCAATCTCCTCTGGGACAGAAGGCAGCAGCAGAGAGACCCACATGGACACATGAAGAGAGACATGAGAGACACACAAGGACACACCATGAGAGACACATGGACACACAGACACATGGACAGGGAGCTGAGCTGAAAAGTTGGATACCAGCAGAAATTGATGGCAATTTTATTTTGTCTTCTCCTGTATAAAGAATAGCCAATGTGGTGGAGGACCACCTCTGTGCCCACGGTGGTCATGGATGGGTTTTACACCAGCTGTGTGTGTGTGTGTGTGTGTTACCTGTTCTCACACTCAAAGCGAGCAGTGACGTCTTTGGCTCTAGTTTGTCCGTCAAGTTGTATCGCCATGGAAATCTTGGTATGTAAGGGGGCGTGAACCCTGATCACACCTTCAAACAGCTCTGTTACCTGCACACACACACATGATGTCACTAATGATGTCAGAGGACAAACTGTCTCACCGGGGTCTGTGTCTCACCTGGTTCCTGTCGTTCTTGTCGTTCTGCCTCCTCAGAAGTCGTCTCGTTGACCTGGTGAGGCCAAACGGTTTCTGATTGGTTGCCTGGTTCATCTGTCTCACCTGAGACAACAGGAACCTTGGTACCTATTGCAGAACAGAGGAAGTGATGTCACAGACAGGTGAGAAAGTGATGTTACTGAGATTGTCCTCAGACTCACGGTCCACAGCAGGTCCTGGTGTGTGATCATCAGCCGAATCAGGTGAGCCCCTCCCACCGCCTCTTCCATCTCTTCCCGTTGCTTAGCAATGGAACGCTTGTTGCCACGGTGACGGCAGGAGAACAGGTTGGGTGCCATAACCATGGAGACATTACACAGAGACATTCGATTCTGGTCCTGATGAGAGATGACCTTACGCAGGAAGATTAACAGGGCCTGTAACCATGGAAACAAATCTGAGTTTATGTGTAACTATAGAAACAGACCTGTATTATGAAGTGTGTGTGTGTGTGTTTACTCTGAGTGTTTCTCTGTTCACTTCAGGAAGCAACAACGACAAGAGATGAAGAGCCTGAACCTGATGAAGCACAGAGGAGATCCCTACACACACACACACACACACACACACACACACACA